GCGTGATGGTGTTGGCTGATGTGTGGTTTATGTGTGGTAGTGCGGAACATGCATGAATATGAGTTTTTGTTTGCTATATTATTATATTGTTGTTACTGAATGTTTATAGCATGTGTATGGTGCATGATGGCCATCATTGGCATAATAAATTTATTAAGTTGAAGGTCATTATACATGGTATTGTTGTTGCATGTCTTGTATGAATCATGCATCATAGTGTTTGGACGGTGGTCTGCTTTGGTGAGCCTCAATCTTATGGCGGGGATTGGGTGCAAGTAGCTAATTACTATGGTGATGAAATTAGTGAAACTCTACCTATGGTGATGATAATGAATTTTTGGTGGAATCTAATTGTATGGTGGGGATCAAGGCGAGTGAACTTAAGAGTTCACAATTTGGTACCACATGCATTGAATCATGTTGTTGAGTCTCATTGCATTGCATAATTGTTGTATCATGATAATTGGATTGTTTGGAGTGTGAATTGTGGATTGAGTAATTTATGCATATGTTGTTGGTGAACTTACATATTATTATGCATTTTCTTATATGATTGTGATTTTCCACCCCTTCTGTTTGAATGATGCCTTTACATGGGCACCGTGTATATAATCTGCATAGAGGCTTGAATCTGAATGGAAGAGATTGTTATTCTTATTATTTTTATTGAGTTGGCGTCTGCTCTGATATGTAACACCAAATGATGGAACACTTCTTTGTCTACTTTATATTTTGTGGAGTTTACTATGTTATCTTTGATGTTTAATAGTTTCTCATGATTACTTTATATTCGGTTATGTTTTGAATTATTATAATAATCGATTGTTGATGCTTTTCCGCTGCTAAATAAAAGTTAAAGTTTAGAATTTATTATTATTGTTGTGAATCGGATACCTTTAAACAAAGTATAAACTGGTTTATTAATAATCAAGAAACACACAAGGGTTAGGGTTAACAAAGAAGACAAGGTAAAACAACAAGGAACAACAAGGATTGGTTATAATACTGGTATTCTTTCCTTTCTCTTAGAACAAGATTACAAGTATACAAGAATAACAAAATAACATTTCTCTCTTGAAATTAGGATTTTATCTTCCTATTTTTCCTTATGTCAAGATTGAGAAACTTGCATCTTATTTATAAGAAAAATAACACACTAACCTAACGGGCTTTTTAACAATTACCCATTACAAGCTAACTTAGGGTACAAGCTAACTTAAACAATTGGGCTAACAATCAAGACCCAATTCAACATGCTAACAACCCTAGAAATATTGACTAATGTATGTTAGAACAAACTTAAACTACAACACACATTACTCCGGCAGCAGCATGCGAACATTCTTCGACCTCATGCTTAATTCATGTCGAACCAGAAGCTACCCTTCGACCATACAGAGATCTATCCAACATCTCACAATTATTATTATCACAAGTTATGAAATTTTATATGTGTTACATACCTTTAAACACAAGTTGTTTGGTGATAAAAGTAGCATCCTAATTGCTGTTGGTTTAAAATTATTCTAATTTTTATTTATAATTACACGGGGATAATTAGGGTGTTACACATCCTCAAGGTCGAGTTATCGTGCTATTAAAAACTTGTAGGTCTTACTCTTCGTAGGACCACACTTTTTCCCTCTTCAACCCCATATTCTCGAAGAGATTTTAGTACATGATTTAATAGGAAATGTTACCATCAATCACAAGTCATAAGACATGCAAGTTTGCAATAGTGGTCATTATCACTAATGGAAAAATTTTATTCAAAATCCCCCTGATCTTATCACTATCCTAAAATTCGAGAGTCGATCTTTCCGAAGTTATATCTAAAGTGTTTCCTTACTTCTTGCTGACAACCATCAACTCATCAATTTTTTCTCTTCATTGTACTTCTAGAAGGGTTGTTTGTCCTTGGGAATCCTCCCATAATGGAAGTGATTTATTAATGCGTCCCCTTGTGACCCTCGTCTTCTCCGCTCCTGACCTATTTGCCTTTGCCCCACCCACGACTTCAATGATTTTCATGGGGGATTGTTTCCTCTTTGGAAAGTCTTCTTAGCCCCTTTTGTTTTCCTTGGTATACTCTAGCGGTTACCCCTTTTTGGTTAGCCATTAATTTGCATACTTCAACTGAATGCAATCATTGGTGTTGTGATCGCGACTCTTGTGGAAATGACATCACTTAGACTTATCATCAATGTATGTGCCCCAATCGAACACAAGTTCCTTATCTCGACATCTTTAAACTTCGTATGTGGCACATTTCTTCAATATCCTTTCACGTGAAGTGTTCAAGGGAGTATACGTGTCAAACCTTTGGCAGGATTTGTGTTGACTTTCTTGTTTGAGACACCCAAAGTCTTTATCTAATGGACGACTAGGTTCCATATTCTCGACATTCAGCTACCTCTGTCGACCATAAGTTTTTCTTCACAGTTGATGCATGGTTGTGCCCAACTCAAAATATCCTTCAGATTAATGGCTTTCTTGCGCCCTAACTTTTCCCAAACATACAATCTAGTATGAGATCTTTCTAAAATATCTAACACTTCAGGATTTCATATGAGCTTTCAACAACTACTTCTACCTTGGTGGAATGGTCAATATATCCATAAAGAGTTTCCCTTTTCACCTTGTGTGCTTTCATTAAGCCCGACCGTGGTGGTCGGTTGCCTTTTCCTGATAGTGAAATGGGTGATGAAAGCCTCACACAGGTTGAACCAATAGCATATGCTTCAGTCCGAAAGCTACTTGTATCATGTTATGGATGATTCTATTAGGGTTAGTGCGAAGAGCTTGCACTTCACGACTTTGTTGATATGGTAGTAGTCTAGTTTGTTGTTTACACGTTCAACGTGTTCATTTGGATCTCCAGTCTTGTTGTAGCTCTAGAATTTAGGAGGTTTATCTAATGACTTCAGGATTCTGTTGTCTATGATGCGAGCAGACAAAAATTTCTTCTTCCTCGTTTAGACAAGAGCTTATTCGTCATACTATCCCCCCATCCTAGGACGACAAATATTATGAGGAGTATGGTTACTCGTCCCTCTTTCGGGATCAGAGGAAGAAGTAAGACGCATGTGTCATCAATGACTTGGAGACTTTAGGACATCTTTTGGATCCATTCTTAGTTCAAGGATGGTGGTCTTTGTGAAGCCACCTCTTGTACAATATTACTTCTTATGTTAGAGTTGTGTAAACTTTCTTTAATCATAGTCAACCTCTTCGCCAAGACTCGAGAGTTCTGTTGTTGAACAGTTTTGGTAGACAATGTTCAATAGTCTGTTGGCTCCTTGCGAGCCAAGATTAGCCTTTAAGAGTTGAAAGTTGGAAAGCGTTTCTCATTCAGACATTGTAGGTAGTAGTGGAAGTCTAAAGGAAGGTTTGTCAAGGTGAAACTACGGTGCAAATCCAAGGAATTGAGGAGGTGGAAACGCTAAGTGATTTGTCTTAGGCTTGACATAATTTTGCGGAAGAGGAACATATGTAACAGTTGTTAAGACTTTATCGTTTGTCCCTTAAGGAGGATACATATGATTCCTGGTAGTTTCAAGGGCTATAGCGGCGTGTCGTTGAATGGCGAAATAAGTAGCTTTGAAAGCTGCCATAGTTAACAGATCCAATGAAGGAGTGCTTGAATATGAATGTGACAAATATTAATCAGGAAATGGAGATATGTTCTTCGATCGAAGGAGATTTGGATTCCTATCATAGGAGATTAAGTTGAATAGAAAGATCATGGAGAGTCGCAAGAATCAAAAGTTAATTCCCACGAACAACGCTAATATTTCGTGCTGGAACTATATTTGATTCGAGAGGAAGAATTCACAATCTGTTGCGGTGGTTCAGCGTTTCCGATGTGGTGGAGAATGAGTTGACTTGTAGGGTTAACACTTTAAAGTCTAAGACAGTAACAGGTGAAAAATGAAATTTTCCTTTTTAAATAGAAGAGATGATTTTTAACTGCACACGTGTGAAATGACAAAGGATGCAATCAAATAATGTAGGATGCAATCATCCGTTGAATTGATCTAGGAATTTAGCATGGCGTTTCATGAGAGGTTGCCTACGACACAAAGGGACTATCTATTGATCAAAAGAAAAGAAAATAGGACATTGATCAAAAGATCAGCCCATTCCTTTGATCATCTATCCGACTACCAAGATTATCCTAGAGTCATTGATGTGTCCAAATGATTATGACTATTCAACAAAATTTTGAGGACAGACGTGAATAGCATGGAAGATAGATTTAGTAGTTCCATGACATAGGAAAATTGCGAAAGAAAGAATTTAAATAAGCTAAAGAAGGATTTTCTTTGTGCCACAGCGCCAAAATACTATGTAAAATTATTTATTTTGTTTGGAGAATTTCTTTTTATAAGTTTTATTTAAAACTAAAAAACATTATATTTATTATAATTATAATTATAATCACTATAGAAGTTATTGCTATTTTCACATGTCTGGTAGACAAGGTTTATGAGAATAAAAGGCTTGCTGTAACTAAAACAATGAGATATCAGATATGGATAAAAAGATGATGAATATCACTTAATTATCGAACTATAATGAAGATGACCTTCCATAACTGAGTAATTAACAAGATGTCGACAACACCACCTAAAAAACATCAAAAGAAAATATGACAAGACCTAAAAGAAACAAAAAGCAATTATTCTTCTCGTCTTTTTCCTTTTTCTTTTTACACAGTACTATATCTCAATAACATATCCACATATAGGCCCTCCATAACTAATTGAAAGTTCTGTTTTACTATGAACTTCGTATTCACTGCTGTCAAAACACGTTGCAATCAAGAAACCGATGATGTTGATTAAAAATCACACGGCCTACATTTCAAATCATCATCCAGTCTCAATCCAACAACTCCAATCCATCGGCTACAGTGAACCCAAATACTAAACAGGAACACTACATACTAAACCCAACCCTCAAAAAGTAAAAAAAAAAAACAGAGGATCAACAAGACCCTATGAGATACACCTCATGGAATAAGAGGTGAAGGGCGAATCTAGTGCAGGTGCACTATCGTAAACTCTTGCGTGATCACTCTCTAATCCGTAATCCATCATCGGACGGTACTCCAAATCTTCATCATGATCATACACGAACTCTGGAATCATAACATCGTTTCTCCTCACGTTTTCCCATAGATAACCAATCCTGCTAACGTACCTTAGCTTTCCGTACAACCTAGCACACCCAATCAAAACAAAAAATTAACAATTGAATCAAATAAAATAAAAATAAAAAATAAAAAACCTCCAGTCATCCAAGAAACTACTACCAACTATAACACAGTAATTTTTAATTTAAAGCTGAATTTAAATTCAATTTAATGAAAATATTAATTACATGATAAAAAAATTAGGTTTTACATTTCTTACCCAGCGTTGAAGAGGAAACGGCCGAACGTAGCAAGAAAAAGACGGGCCTGTAAACCAGGATGAATGAAATAAACCGCTTCTAAATTCTCTTTCACGCTCGCCGGAATCGCGTCGTAAATCGACCGGAGAGAAGAGATTCCGGGAAAATTCTCGCTCCTCTGAACACCGGTGTGAATGTAAAGTATCGCGAATTTCTTCTTCCCTAGTTTCGGGAAAATCCTTTCTTCCAGATAATTCTTCAAAACATCAACGCTAACCAATCGAGCTGAAGCAAGAAAATAAACAACATCAACAACGAGAGTTACAAATTCAATTTCCACAAAAAAAACACGTCGAATAAAAAAGTACACGGCGAGTTTTTTTTACCAGGGAAGAATTTTCCGATAATGCGGAGGATCTTGCGGCCATGCTTGTCTCTTCCTTTGATCTTGAAGACTTCTGAATTCTCAAGCAACTCTTCTTGCTCGGGTACGGTCATGGTGGAAATCATCGTTTTTTAAGGAAATAGAGAAGCGAAGGGTTTTGCTTAGAAAAAAAGAAGATGAAGAACGTTACGTTGAGGGTGTGAAGTGGATCGTGATGTTGAAATGAGATATATAGAGATAGGGATTATATATTATTTATAAGGAGTGATGAAATTTATTATTAATAAAATTAATATTATTAATAAAAGTAATAAATAATGAATTATAAAATTAGGAAACTCGGGAGAAGAAAAAGGAAAAGTATTTGGAAAAAATAAATGAAAAAGAAAAGAAAAAGAAAAATAAAAGAAACGATTTCGCGGTTGCGCGGTTATTGGGAATATTCGAAAGCATCTTCCATTATAGGAGGCTAGAGTGGGCCACATGGATGGTGGTGTCTTGGATTGCGATCAGATTACGCTGACGCGATCTCAGCCGTACATTAGTTCGCCGTGAAGGAAGATGATTTATCCGTTAATCGTCTTGGTTTGATTTTAATTATAGTTATTGTTTAAGGAAACCGTGGTCGTCGTAAACCATTCGCGTGGCTTGTGTTTGTCTGCTTGCAATAATTGTATTGCTATGATTGGTGGGATCGTCTTTCTTGAACAGAATTAATCGGATTTGCTTTTTGACCAAATAATTCATTGGGTTATTGCTAATTTCAAATGGTGTAGAATATTAAACTACTCCTCGTGCGGAGTGGTAACTTTTTTGAAAATGAAATTAAACTACACATATTCGCTCATATCTTATTTTTGACTATTTTTCAAATTTCATAAAAGATTTCTTTTTAACAATAAATTTATTTATACCTTTATATAAAGATAAAATATAATTTTAATTTAGTTTTTTTCCTTTTAAATATATTACTTTTAGTTTTTATTTTATTTTTTTTATAATAAATAGTGGTCATATTACGATTTGTACTATTTTATGAATAATAAATAATTAAATAAAAATAATAATATAAACTATATTTTACACGCGAATGTATTATAAAAAATGAACAGACAGGTACGCGCTAGTATAATAATATATGGTTGATCAAGAAAACTTTTGTGTTAAAAAGTAGAAAAACAAAACCAAATGTAAATTTTTGTAGAGTTTAGTTTTTATGCCATACCAAAACTAGTGTTCAGATGGATAGACATGTGTCCGTCTGTCTTTTTTTTAAATGCATATAAATGAAAATATAAACAATATTTTTTATTTAATATTAATTTTAAATAGAAATTAGATAAAAAGTTAATAGTAGAAAGATAATATAGGAAGTTATGTGAAATATAATAGTAATGATTTTAATAAAAGTTATTATGTGAGTTACACGTAAATAAAAGTAAATTGATAGAAAAATAAGTTATACCAAAATCAAGTTTTGTTTTTATACATGTGAAGAATATAGATAAAATGTTTTGCATCAATAGATTAGCAAAAATATGAACTTGCTCAATGTGTGTTTTTTATCGAACTTAATTATTTATTTATTTTATTATTAAATAATTTTGATAAATAAAATTGATTATGGATTATCTAAAAAGTCTAATACATATAGTCCAACGATAAATGCTAATGGTGTGCATATATAAGAGGTGAATCATCACAATCAATAAAGGTAAGTAATTGTGAACTCTTATGCATCATACATTGCCGAAATCAATTAGACGATATATCACACAACACGTCGCGTCCCACGTAGACTGCTCTAACTGCCCTACTATATAGGAGAGAAAATGCGTCATTTCTTGGTAATTGAAATATATTTCCACTTTGCATCACTTTTCATATTCCACTAGTGCAGAAATGACTTCTTACATCGGACGAAATTGTCTTATTACATCGGGCGAAATTGACTTTTTACATTGGGTCTTAGTCCGATGTAAAGTCAGGCGATATAGTAAATCAAAGACATCGGTTCAATTTTTAAGTCTGATGTGAAAAAAAATTATAATTCTAAATTTTAATTATAAAAGGGGTTTTTTACATCGGTTGCGGGGAAAAACCGATGTAAAAGGGGGGTATTTTACATCAGTTGCGTACCAAAATCGATGTAAAAAGTACTGTAGGAAAAAAAATTCATGTTGATACTTTTTACATCGGTTCTCTGGTAAAACTGATGGAAAAGGTAGACCTTTTACATCGGTTTGATGGGTCACCCGATGTGAAAAGTATTGTAGAAAAAAAATTTGCTAACACTTTTTACATCGATTCTGTGTTTAAACCGATGTAAAAGGCAGTTTTTTACATCAGTTTTTTCATTCAACCGATGTAAAAAGTACTGTTACGAGTATAAATTATTTGCCTATTTTTTAGTCGTTCCCTGTAACTTTTTTGTACCTAATTTTTCATATTTTTCAAACATTACACAGACCATATTTAGGTCGTTATTTTCATATTTTTCTCATAAATCTAATTTGATTGCACCAAATATCTAGTATACACATAATTGATTTACAAAAGTGTCAGTATAAAGGATATATATACACAAATGTACTAACAACAAAAAGGTCGGTTAACCTTTTATACACAAATGTGCTAACAACAAAAAGCTACACAAATGTACTACAACAACAAAAAGATTAACCTTTATATAATTCAAACAAACATGTTGCCCAACGGAGTCGCAAATCATACAAATCGTCGGGCGATAGGTCCGTTGGGTCATCAAATACTTACAACACGTAAGTAAAAATAGAGTTATTCTTTAAAAATTCACATTAAGTTGCAAAACATAAAGTAAATAACAAATTAAAGTCATTTTTATTACCTTCGTCCAATAGTTGGTTATATTGGCAGAGACAATATCCAACATATTTTTCATCACATAATACCCACAATCATTAGAGTTAGGTTGTTTCCTTGTCTACAAATGAATGACATAATTAGTGAATACTTATATGATAAAATTAAATATCTAATTATAATTTACACCACGCTTACATTGGGTTGAAGTCATGTATCCTTTTTTCTATTCCCATTTGCCGCTTGATGAACCCCAAAAGCACTAATTCAGAAGAAAAAAATTCATATAAAGCCACATAATATATGATATTACTTTTGTAACAAATTATGTATATAGGATGAAGTGAACATAAAAGATAAACTTACCTTGTAACAATTTTTGTCATGGTTTGATTAAGTTCATGATGAAGGGAACAAAAGACGACCACCGTATTATCATTTGGACACATGACTATTAATTTTCAATGACCCATGTATGTGTGTGTGGAAACACAAAAGTCACAATTTCATGTTACCAAAATTGAATTATATATGTTATCAAAATTAAAAAATAGAAAACATGATTTCATACAAACTTACCCATGAACAAATGGTAGCAAGTAACACTCTCTCTTTTCGTCACGTAACTTATCTTGTATGTATTGTTTGACATTTGCTTGAGTTTTCGGCGCATGATCAACGTACGACCACATAGCAGGGTCCATAAATCCGTATACTTCAGATTGTGAAGTATCAATACACAAACGATGAATATACCTGAAAAATTTAAAAATCAACATTATAATAAAAGTGATAAGAGATATAACATATTAATAGATATTGACACTAATAAAAATAGAAAATGTACTTACGTGCACCAAACTTGGAGAGTAGACAAATCAAGCCAATTAAAATCCACCAGCAGCTCTCTGATACACTTAGCTGACATATGAAAATTATTGGTGCTCGCACAATGACATAATTTTATTTCCAAATGATCATTACCCATTCTTAGAACCATTCTCATTAATCTCTCAACATTGTCCTCTCATTCTCTTTCTTTTGTGCTTACTTTTGCAGCTGAACAACTTCCTTTTCCGCTTCCATCAACAGCTTCCCATTGTACAATGCATTTATTATTATTTTCTGTGCTTTGTTGCGAGAGACCCATAGACCTAAGTGTATCCATAAAAGATTGTTCCATCGCCTTACGCTCTTCAACCAACTTTTAATCAAAATCAGCTCTAAGCTTTGCTTCTAATTCAGATGAAAATTGTGCAAATTGTTCTCTTATATCGTCTCGTCATTGACATGAAGATGATTTGCCAAAGAAAGTGCTTAGTTTATGGTGTTTTCCAACACCACGAACACGATCGGCATGCTCAGATGTTCCAATGGCTGCTGTTAAGATATCATTACGTCCATCCGAAATAAAGCCACCCTTTTCAGCTTCTTCAACTAGAGAATCCTACAAAATGAAAAAACCATATTTTTTTATCAATCACAACTATAACTAGAGAATCCTGCAAAATGAAAAAACCATATTTTTTTACTTACAATTTTCTCAGCAATAACTTGTGTAGCCTTTGATGTGTATTCTCCCCCTTTCTTTTGTTGTGCTCTCTTCCATAACTCATGGTGTGACGGTGAAGATGGGCTACCAGTATCATCTAAGGTATAATCATCTCTCGATGATCTCCTTTCATTTATCATTTTCTCTTCAAGCAAACGATACCCTCCACGAGATAATACATGTGGGTATACATTCTTAGCCACATTTGTTGCACCCTTTTGAGTTTTTTCCTATTATAAACTCAAAAAGTTATTAATCATACTAAACATAATAAAAATGTTATGCACAAAAAAAATTATAACTTCTACTAACCTTAAATTCAGGGGTATCTTGAGACTGCACAAAATCCTTCCATACTTCTTCTTTAATATAATTATACCTGATATATGGAGGAGCTAGACCTTCTTTGGGGTGTCTAATATACTCGCTTGTGAGTTGTGTCTTAAAAGCTCTCCATCGCTCTCCTGCATATTTAATCCATTCTTTCTTCAACGGATCCTTTTTTGGATCATGAGGTTCTGGAATAGTGAAATGAGCTTATACATATAGTATATGGCATATGTTGTTAGTATATGATTATAAAATATAATAAAGTGTAGCAGTAAAACATACCTGAACATCAGTCCAAATAGCCTCAAGTTAAGGGCTTTAGAGCAACACCATGCTCTTGTTCCCCATTGAAAGCTTTCTGTAATCTACGATATGGATGATAATAGTCTTCTTTCCTTTTACAAGTTGATGGTAACATGTGTCTTTTTCACATATAGGACATGTTCTATGCCCTTTAACTTTATAACCATACAAATTGCCATATGCCGGAAAATCGTTGACGATGCAAAACAACATGGCACGCATATTGAACTGTTCACCTGAATACGCATCAAAAACATCCACCCCTTCCTCCTACAACACTTTTAAATCATCAATCAGAGGACTTAGATAAACATCTATGTCATTTCCGGGTTATTTTGGGCCCGAAATCATCATCGGTAACATAATATATTTACGCTTCATGCACAACCTAGGAGATAGGTTGTAGATCATCAGGAGAACAGCCCAACAGGTATGGTTAGTACTTAGATTACCAAACGAATTCATTCCATCAGTTGAAAGTCCAAGTCTAAGGTTTCTCGACTCCTTGCCAAAATTTGGAAACGAAACATCTATTTTCTTCCATTGTAAAGAATCAGCTACATGGCGAATTTTTCCATCACACTTTCTTTCTTTTGCATGCCATCTAAGATTCTTTGCGTCATTTGCATTAGCGAATAGTCTCTTGAACCTTGAAATTATTGGTAGGTACCATACCACTTTCGCTGGAGGAACCTTTTTTACCGCCTCATCATCACTACAATCACCAACTTTCTTTTTATAGCGTGACGCCTTGCACTTCGAACAATGATTATAATTTACATACTCTTTTCTGTATAATATGCAATCATTAGGGCATGCATGTATCTTTTCATACTCCAAACCCATCGGACACAATATCTTTTTCGCCTCGTAATAACGATTTGGCATTATGTTACCTTCTATAAGCATTTGTGTCAACAATTCAAGCAATTCGGTAAAACTTTTGTCAGCCCACCCATTATTTGCCTTCAAATTAAACAATTTTAACACGGCTGACAAACGTGTAAAATTTGTGCATCCCGGATACAAAGGTCTATCCTTGTCACTGCATAAAGTATCATACGCATGTGCCTTCTTAAACGAATCTTGTCCAATATCACGCATCATGTCTTCCAGACGATCATCCATTTCTGCACTAACATTATCTCTTTGGGACACATTTAATTTTGCTACTACCTCACCGTGCCATATCCATTGTGTATAACTTTGACAAATCCCATGACAAATTAGATGATCCATGATTTCTTTCTTATTGAATTTTGGTTCGTGATTTGCACAACGAACACATGGACAGATAAAAAGCAGATGAAGACTTTTTTCAGCATCACTCTTAGGAGGAGTAAGATTTTTTTTAGCATTACTTTCAGCAAGCTCTAGAAACTCCATCACTCCTTGTTCGTACTCGAAACTTAATCGATTGGATCTCATCCAACTACGATTCATACCTATGTTCCGAAATTATTAATGCATACAAAGTTAAATCATTGGGATGCCTATAATAGTCCCTCTTTTGGACATTAGAGAGAACAAAAAGTCTCTACGTGTAAACACGTGGCATAAAAGAAGAATTGAGAAGTTATAAAGAATGAAAACAGAACATGCAATTACGTGGCGGCCGAATGACTCGCGGTTAAGAGAAAAAGAGGGACACAAATCCTGCGAGAAACGAAAAATCAATTTTTATTTCATGAGACACCACCAATTACTCGCAACTTTTACATAAATTACTACTGGTAAATAATTCGATGAGACTAAATTATTATTTTAAAAATTATATATATATAATATGATTAAAATGACATATTGATAAAATACTTAAATATATTTACAAAATTTAATGTTTTATTTGAATTGATGGAATTGAATAGAAAAGAACATTAATAATCGGAATGAAATGATATTGTATTGTATGTATATCTTAAAATTGAATAGAGTTTGAATATAGTTGGTTGGAATTGAGTGGTATAAAAAAATTGCATTGTTCCGATCTACAAAAGAGCATAAAAGAACTTACTATATGATATTTATTTTCTTTCATTTCACTCTTTAATTCATTTTATCATTTCTTTTTTGCCCAATGAAATTAGAAGCAGTAGAAATCTAATACATATTCTCATTTACTACTATACTACACGAACTTACAAACTTAAGAAGCAGTAGAACCTCCATTGAAACCAAAAGAAATTTAGAGTTAATTAAAACTACTACACTACACGAACTTAAGAATCATCTCATTCAAAGCTCCAAAACCGTAACAATTCAATCTCACTAGAATCCTATCTTGTTGAGAGTGGAATTTCTCTAATCTCTTGCATCATATTAATAATTTTTAGAAACAATTCATTATAAAATCGTAGCAGGAAAACCCCAGTTTTAATTCATTATAAAAAACACAAAGCATGAGCAAAATGGGTACAAAAAAAAATGCATGAAAAAAAAAACAGATTTTCGTATAAACCTGAAAACCCCATGAAAAATCTTCAAACAAATTTGAATCACACAGGAATCAAATTAAAATGAAAAGATAAATAAATAAATAAAGAAAAGGAAAAAACCTGAAGGAGATTATCGTCGACGGCGGAGCTCGGAGGGGAGACGGCGAGTACAGTAGGAGGAGCGACGACACGAGCAAGGAGGAAGAGATGACATTGACGGTGACGGCGCGAGCACGGAGGGGAGGGAGGAACGACGACGGCGACGGCGGGAGTGAGAAGATGAAGAATCGTCGTGGGTTTTTTTGGTTCGTCGTGGGAGAGAGGAAGAAAAATGAAATGAACCGTGCGTGCAGGTTTTGTTTTAAAATATTTAAACTACTTTTTAAATCGGTGGAATTACCAACCGATTTAAAAGACCCTTTTAAATAACTTTTTAAATCGGTGGATATCCCAACCGATGTAAAAGCCAAGTTTTTTGTTTTTTTTTTTGGACTTTTTAAATCGGTTGTTCACTATAAACCGATTTAAAAAACCTTTAAATAATTTTTCTTTTACTTTTTTTAATATTGCTTTTTAAATCAGTGGATACCCCAACCGATGTAAAAGCCAAGTTTTTTGTTTTTTTTCTTTTGAGGACTTTTTAAATCGGTTGGCCACTATAAACCGATTTTAAAAACCTTTATATAATTTTTTTGATATAGCTTTTTAAATCGGTTTCAATTATAACCGATTTAAAAAACCTTTAAATAATTTTTTTCAATTTTTTTTAATATTGTTTTTAAATCGGTTGCAGTTATAACCGATTTAAAAAACCTTTAAATAATTTTTTTCAATTTTTTACATCGGTTATTTTAATGGCGCGATGTAAAAGATCTAATAATTTTTTTTTAATATTTATGATACTGCCACCGTATTTATAATTTCACATTTACATCGCTTCTAGTGAATACCCAATGTAAAAACATTTTCTCAAAAGTCTTTTTTCTAGTAGTGTTCATAATGACTTGGGCGTTGAAGGGTGAACCTTAAGTATCGTCGGTCAACCTCCATATTATCGAGCAATGACTGAATGAGTTGCAGAAAGCCTTAAATATCGTCGATCGACCTCCATATTATAGTCCGATAAGGAATATAACTAAATCGTTTGGGATCAATTTTTTGAGAAATAATGGGGAACAAACACATTTAATGTGCTTTCATCACTGAGACGTTTTGTCACCCATTCCTGACACGTGCGGTGACGTGACCAGAAAGGGTGTGACGCAGTTCATAGAATGCTTGAATGTACTTGAGTTTTGCATGTTTCCATAAGTGATATCATAGTCGTTGATTTTGTAATTTCTGCATATATTTGGTTTCGATCCTTTGAGTGTTATTGCTTATAAAGACGATGGGTTGAATATTTGGAGATTTTTCACAACCTTTTAGCTTTCAAGCTCTCTGGAACTTTTCTAAAGAAAAGTCTTCGCTCCTTTTCCTTTAGACCACCACTAGAAGTGATTAGAAGTACATTTATAGCTTTTGCCTTTTTCGTTTCTTCTACTTCATCAATTTTCATTAACCAGGTACTCTTCTAATTTCATCTTTTCCTTCAGCTTTTACTATTTTCTTAGTTAGTATATGTAACAACATTGTCAATTTAGCGAGTGGTTATAAATTAAAGGCTTCATATGGGTCATCCCCTGATTCTCCTCGCCCATCTCAGAGTAGTGATTACATGAGATCAAAAATCATATCCTTATCTGACGATTCTGACTCAAAAGGGATATTTGGGAACTCCTTTGAGGAAGACTTTTCTTATTCTGGATCGTTAGACGCCCTTGTATCAAATGTCGGTGGAAGAATAAATTGTTGGAACAAAATTGTTAATATTCTTTGGGTTTTGATGATAACAAAATATTTAAAGAACAATTGGATATACTAACATATGTTCAAGTGTGAAGGATCACAAGCTTAGAATTCAACTATAAATTGACCATGATAAAAGCATGTGTAGAAAAAGCAAAGTGACTAAGATTTGGAAGGATCAAAATTTGATGACTCTGAACGTGTTTATTGGCTTTTGAAGGATA